CACCAGGATTGGTCCACCACTTATAACACCAGGAGAGTTGGTCCACCACTATTATAACACCAGGAGAGTTGGTCCACCACTATTATAACACCAGGGAGAGTTGGTCCACCACTATTACAACACCAGGAGTTGGTCCACCACTATTATAACACCAGGAGAGTTGGTCCACCACTATTATAACACCAGGAGAGTTGGTCCACCACTATTATAACACCAGGAGAGTTGGTCCACCGCTATTATAACACCACAGGGAGAGTTGGTCCACCACTATTATACACCAGGAGAGTTGGTCCACCACTATTATAACACCAGAGAGTTGGTCCACCACTATTATAACACCAGGGAGAGTTGGTCCATCACTATAACACCAGGGAGAGTTGGTCCACCACTATTATAACACCAGGGAGAGTTGATCCACCACCATTATAACACTAGGGAGAGTTGGTCCACCACCATTATAACACTAGGGAGAGTTGGTCCATCACTATTATAACAGCAGGGAGTTGGTCCATCACTATTATAACACCAGGAGTTGGTCCATCACTATTATAACACCAGGAGAGTTGGTCCACCACTATTATAACACCAGGAGATGGTCCATCATTATTATAACACCAGGAGTTGGTCCATCACTATTATAACACCAGGGAGAGTTGGTCCACCACTATTATAACACCAGGAGAGTTGGTCCACCACCATTATAACACCAGCACAACGGAGTTGGTCCATCACTATTATAACAACAGGGAGTTGGTCCACCACTATTATAACACCTGGAGTTGGTCCACCACTATTATAACACCAGGAGAGTTGGTCCACCACTATTATAACACCAGAGAGTTGGTCCACCACCATTATAACACCAGCACAAGGGAGTTGGTCCATCATTATTATAACACCAGGAGTTGGTCCATCACTATTATAACAACAGGGAGTTAGTCCACCACTATTATAACACCATGGAGTTGGTCCATCATTATTATAACACCCAGGAGAGTTGGTCCACCACCATTATAACACCAGCACAAGGGAGTTGGTCCATCACTATTATAACACCAGGGAGTTGGTCCATCACTATTATAACACCAGGAGTTGGTCCATCACTATTATAACACCAGGGGTTGGTCCACCACTATTATAACACCAGGAGAGTTGGTCCATCACTATTATAACACCAGGAGAGTTGGTCCACCACTATTATAACACCAGGGAGAATTGGTCCACCACCATTATAACACCAGGAGTTGGTCCACCACTATTATAACAACAGGAGTTGGTCCATCACTATTATAACACCATGGAGTTGGTCCACCACTATTATAACACCACGGAGTTGGTCCATCATTATTATAACACCAGGAGTTGGTCCATCACTATTATAACACCATGGAGTTGGTCCATCACTATTATAACAACAAGGAGTTGGTCCATCACTATTATAACAGCAGGGAGTTGGTCCATCACTATTATAACACCAGGAGTTGTCCACCACTATTATAACACAGGAGTTGGTCCATCATTATTATAACACCAGGGAGTGGTCCATCACTATTATAACACGAGTTGGTCCATCACTTATACCAGAGTTCCACAATTATAACCAGGGGTCACCACTATATAACACCAGTCACATAACACCGGTCTATAACACCAGGGAGTTGGTCACCACTTATAACACAGGAGTTGGTCCACCACTATTATAACACCAGGGAGTTGGTCCATCACTATTATAACACCATGGAGTTGGTCCACCACTTCACTATTATAACACCAGGGAGTTGGTCCACATATTATAACACAGGAGTTGGTCCACACTATAACAGGGAGTTGGTCCACACTATTATAACACCAGGTTGGTCCACCATTATAACACCAGGGAGTTGGTCCATCACTATTATAACACCAGGAGGTCCATCACTATTATAACACCAGGGAGTTGGTCCATCACTATTATAACACCAGGAGTTGGTCCATCACTATTATAACACCAGGGAGTTGGTCCATCACTATTATAACACAGGAAACAGGAGTTGGTCCATCACTATTATAACACCAGGGAGTTGGTCCATCACTATTATAACACCAGGAGTTGGTCCACCACTATTAAAACACCAAGGAGTTGGTCCACCACTATTATAACCCAGGGAGTTGGTCCACCACTTATAACACCAGGAGAGTTGGTCCACCACTATAACACCAGGGAGAGTTGGTCCACCACTATTATAACATCAGGAGAGTTGGTCCACCACTATTATAACACCAGGACAGTTGGTCCACCACTATTATAACACCAGGGACAGTTGGTCCACCACTATTATAACACCAGGAGTTGGTCCACCACTATTATAACCCAGGGAGAGTTAGTCCACCACTATTATAACACGAGGAGAGTTAGTCCACCGCTATTATAACTCCAGGGTAGGTCCACCACTATTATAACACAGAGAGTTGGTCCACCGCTATTATAACACCAGGAGAGTTGGTCCACCATTGTAACACCAGGGAGTTAGTCCACCGCTATTATAACACCAGGAGAGTTGGTCCACCACTATTATAACACCCAGGGAGTTGGTCCACCACTATTATAACACCAGGGGTGTTGTCCACCACTATTATAACAGGAGAGTTGGTCCACCACTATTATAACACCAGGAGAGTTAGTCCACCGCTATTATAACACCAGGGAGAGTTGGTCCATCACTATAACACCAGGAGTTGGTCCACCACTATTATAACACCAGGAGTTGGTTCACTGCTATTATAACACCAGGAGAGTTGGTCCATCATTTATAACACCAGGAGTTGGTCCACCACTATTATAACACCAGGAGAGTTGGTCCACCGCTATTATAACACCAGGAGAGTTGGTCCATCACTATTATAACACCAGGAGTTGGTCCACCACTATATCACCAGGGAGAGCTGGTCCACCGCTATTATAACACCGAGAGTTGGTCCACCACTATTA